ACTGTTGCTGGTGTGGCTTAATGAGAAACAGTTATCCGAGAAACAATTAATCCCAGAGGGTTAGCCACCCAGGATTACCCAAGAAAGTCAGTGTGTCATCGAGGACTGTGTAACTTACTTCCATTGGGGTTCTTAATCTTGTCCCCAGGATGTGACCCACACCAGTTGACTAACACCCAGGTGAACAGGAAAAAATGCCTGAAACTAGTGCTCATATTGGTGAATTTAAGGCCAACAAAGGTTGGTTTGAGAGATTTAAGAATTGTAGTGGCATTCACAGTGTGATGAGGCATGGCAAATCTGAAAAATTTCAACCCCAGCAATTGTTCAGTTGTGACGAAACAGGCCTGTTCTGGAAGAAAATGCCAAACAGGACCTACATTACTCAGGAGGAAAAGGCACTCCCAGGACTCAAGCCTATGAAAGACAGGGTAACTCTCATGTTTTGTTGTAATGCTAATGGGGATCGCAAAGTGAAGCCTTTACTCATGTATCACTCTGAAAATAGCAATGTTCATCACTCGTTAGTACTCTACAATAAAGGTAAATATCATTTTAGTATGTATTTATGTATTTATTCTGCATGTCTCATTTTCTGTGTAGGGAAATGTATATTTCATGTAAAAAAAAAATTTTTTTTTAATACTTTTGGGCGTCTGGAACGGATTAATTGCATTTATATTATTTCTTATGGGGAAAATTAATTCGGATGACGATAATATCAGTTATGGACAAGCTCTCAAACAGATTAATGAAGTTACCCGAGGGTCCACTGTACAGCGGACCCTCAGGTAACGGCATTAATCCGTTCCAGAGAGCTTGCCTTTAACCAGTTTTGCTGTTAGTCAAATTAATTTTCCTTATAAGAAATAATGGAAATCCAATTAATCTGTTTGACACCCAAAAGTATTAACAAAAAAAAAATTTTTTTTAAAGATTAAATATACATAGAGAAAACAATGACAAATATATATAAAGCACCAATAAAATTAGTAAATGAACATTTAACATAACACTTACCTTTATTGACTCTTGTTGGTGTATGGAAGACAGGTAGGAGGCGAGAGGGAGACAAGTTTATTATACATTAATATGATGCTAATATCATCTCTATGGCTTATTTATCTATCACAATTCATCTTATATGACATAATAAACAATATTGGAAAGTTACTTTCGTACTGTTGAGTAGACTTCAGGATGTACATGTTTATAGAGGGGCCACAGATATATCAGATCACTTTCTAGTTGTAGCTACACTGAGAGTAAAAGGTAGATGGGATACAAGGAGAATAGAAGCATCAGGGAAGAGAGAGGTGAAGGTTTATAAACTAAAAGAGGAGGCAGTTAGGGTAAGATATAAACAGCTATTGGAGGATAGATGGGCTAATGAGAGCATAGGCAATGGGGTCGAAGAGGTATGGGGTAGGTTTAAAAATGTAGTGTTAGTGTTCAGCAGAAGTTTGTGGTTACAGGAAAGTGGGTGCGGGAGGGAAGTGGAGCGATTGGTGGAATGATGATGTAAAGAGAGTAGTAAGGGAGAAAAGGTTAGCATATGAGAAATTTTTGAGAGTGGTGAAGCAATGTAAAAAGAGAGCAAATGAGAGAGTGGGTGAGATGTTATCAACAAATTTTGTTGAAAATAAGAAAAAGTTTTGGAGTGAGATTAACAAGTTAAGGAAGCCTAGAGAACAAATGGATTTGTCAGTTGAAAATAGGAGAGGAGAGTTATTAAATGGAGAGTTAGAGGTATTGGGAAGGTGGAGGGAATATTTTGAGGAATTGTTAAATGTTGATGAAGATAGGGAAGCTGTGATTTCGTGTATAGGGCAAGGAGGAATAACATCTTGTAAGAGTGAGGAAGAGCCAGTTGTGAGTGGGGGGGAAGTTCGTGAGGCAGTAGGTAAAATGAAAGGGGGTAAGGCAGCCAGAATTGATGGGATAAAGACAGAAATGTTAAAAGCAGGTGGGGATGTAGTTTTGGAGTGGTTGGTGCAATTATTTAATAAATGTATGGAAGAGGGTAAGGTACCTTGGGATTGGCAGAGAGCATGCATAGTTCCTTTGTATAAAGGCAAAGGGGACAAAAGAGAGTGCAAAAATTATAGGGGGATAAGTCTGTTGAGTATACCTCGTAAAGTGTATGGTAGTTATTATTGAAAGAATTAAGAGTAAGAATGAGAATAGGATAGCAGATGAACAAGGAGGCTTTAGGAAAGGTAGGGGGTGTGTGGACCAGGTGTTTACAGTGAAACGTATTAGTGAACAGTATTTAGATAAGGTTAAAAGAGGTCTTTGTGGCATTTATGGATTTGGAAAAGGCGTATGACAGGGTGGATAGGGGGGCAATGTGGCAGATGTAGCAGGTGTATGGTGTAGGAGGTAGGTTACTGAAAGCAGTGAAGAGTTTTTATGAGGATAGTGAGGCTCAAGTTAGAGTATGTAGGAAAGAGGGAAATTATTTCCCAATAAAAGTAGGCCTTAGACAAGGATTTGTGATGTCACCATGGTTGTTTAATATATTTATAGATGGGGTTGTAAGAGGAGTAAGTGCAAGGGTCTTGGCAAGAGGCGTGGAGTTAAAAGATAAAGAATCACACATAGTGGGAGTTGTCACAGTTGCTCTTTGCTGATGATGCTGTGCTCTTGGGAGATTCTGAAGAGAAGTTGCAGAGATTAGTGGATGAATTTGGTAGGGTGTGCAAAAGAAGAAAATTGAAAGTGAATACAGGAAAGAGTAAGGTTATGAGGATAACAAAAAGATTAGGTGATGAAAGATTGGATATCAGATTGGAGGGAGAGAGTATGGAGGAGGTGAATGTATTCAGATAGTTGGGAGTGGACGTGTCAGCGGATGGGTCTATGAAAGATGAGGTGAATCATAGAATTGATGAGGGGTGAGTGGTGCACTTCGGAGTCTGTGGAGACAAAGAACTTTGTCCTTGGAGGCAAAGAGGGGAATGAAAGAGTATAGTTTTACCCACGCTCTTATATGGGTGTGAAGCGTGGGTGATGAATGTTGCAGCGAGGAGAAGGTTGGAGGCAGTGGAGATGTCATGTCTGAGGGCAGTGTGTGGTGTGAACATAACGCAGAGAATTCGTAGTTTGGAAGTTGAAGGGTTGAGGTGGTTTGGACATGTAGAGAGAATGGAGCGAAACAGAGTGACTTCATAACTCACGAAATCGTAATGACTCGATTGTTAGTGACTTCAAGATTGTATCAGTCTGTAGTGGAAGGAAGGCGGGTTAGGGGTCGGCCTAGGAAAGGTTGGAGGGAGGGGGTAAAGGAGGTTTTGTGTGCGAGGGGCTTGGACTTTCAGCAGGCATGCGTGAGCGTGTTTGATAGGAGTGAATGGAGACAAATGGTTTTTAATACTTGATGTGCTGTTGGAGTGTGAGCAAAGTAACATTTATGAAGGGGTTCAGGGAAACCGGCAGGCCAGACTTGAGTCCTGGAGATGGGAAGTACAGTGCCTGCACTCTGAAGGAGGGGTGTTAATGTTGCAGTTTAAAAACTAGTGTAAAGCACCCTTCTGGCAAGACAGAGATGGAGTGAATGATGGTGAAAGTTTTTCTTTTTTGGGCCACCCTGCCTTGGTGGGAATCGGCCAGTGTGATAATAATAATAATAATAATACTTTTCGTGTCATTTTTTATTGCTTACTCACTTAATTTATTTGCTACACTGTTAATTCTACACTATCGCTGGCTGGCACTATAGCCTTTATCGATACCTGCTGTTTAAGTATCATGCATATTGTAGAATCACTGAATCACTGCAGGAGGCACATTTTCCTCTTTTTCCACCTTGGTATTTTGCTACGAGTTTTTTTCTTGAACTCTTTTGTGTTTCTTTAATTCTTTACCACAGGGCTGGCACAAGAAGCTTTCTTTGGGCACATAGTGGCTTATTTAGCAGTTACAAGCCCTAAAAACAATGGAATAATACAAAATATATCTCGTGTACACGTGGAATCGTCGTCTCTGGCTTGTAAACAATGGCACACTGGCTGTTCATAAGCTCAGGCCGCACGGACACGTTTGTGACGAATGTCCTTTACTGAGTTCTTGGGCATTAACCGAGCCAATATTTTGACGCAAAACGTGCCGCTATCTGATTTTGGCGTTTGCCGATGCCGCCGTTACCCGAGGGTCCACTGTATATGTGAACAGTGTTTAGATAAAGGTAGGGTAGTTTTCATTGCATTTATGAATTTAGAAAAGGCGTATGATAGTGGATAGGAGAGCAATGTGGCAGATGTTGAAAAGTATCTAAAATTGTAGTAAGTTACAAAATGCTGAAAAGGTTTATTGAGGATAGTGGGTTCGGTTTTAGGGTGTGTAAAAAGAGGGGGAGATTTCTTCCGGGAAAAAAGTAGGTCTTGGGCCCGGGGGAGGGTGAAAATGTCACCATGGTGGTTTAATATTTTTAGATTGGGGAAAAGGGGGGGGGTTTTAAATTATGGGGAATAAAAATACAAAATGGGAGAAGCCCTTTGTTTTGGGTGGGGAGTGAGGTGTTTGTGTTTTTTTTGAGGGTTTGAAAGTTTTTTTTTTTTTGAGGATTTTTTTTTTTTTTGGGGGGGGGGGGGCCCCCTTGCCTTTTTGGGGAGAGGCAAATTGTTAAAAAAAAAAAATTTTAAGACTTTTTTTCCCACTTTAATTTTTTTTTTTTAAATTTGGCCTTTTCGCCCCAAAGCGGGTGACCTAAAAAAAAATTTTTTTTTTTTTTTAAGTTTAGTAATTTTTTGCGGGAAAGGATTTTACTAGCCCTTTGCCCCCGGGCCCAATTTTTTTTCCCCTCTTTAAAACCATCGGGCTTAGGGGGAAAGGCTTTTTTCCTTTCCCCCAGGGTTTTTAAGGGTCTTTCTGTATCATTTTTTTTTTCGGGGTTGGGTAAAATGCCGATGAACAGGCTCCAGGAATCAAGAACTCACTGCAAAAGAAAATGAATTTTAAAACAAAGCGGGAAAGTTTTCCAGCCCCCACGTGTTTTGTTCCAAAAATGGCTTTGTGGGGTATAGATTTTCCCAAAATTTTGTCCCTTGGGCTTTTTTTCCCCTATATAAAAGGTAGGGTATCAACCCCCCCCCCAAAAAAAAAATATACAGGGAAAAAGGAAACATTTGCCATAAATTTTTTCTTTTGCTTTTTTCCTTTAATGTTTTCCCACTATGTTTTTTGGTTCAGAGTAAGACCCCTAGCCCCTGGCCATGCCGTCACCCTTGCTACTTCCCAGATTTACTTCCCCTGGGACTTTCTTTCCCTTCTCTTAAAATGTGTGGTTCCTGCTTCTTAAGAATCTTTCCCACTTTCCAACCACTGTGACTGGAATTTTTTTCCCCTTTTGAAACGGATCCATTATTTTTGAGCAATAGGGGCAGACTTCTGCATTATAGGGGAGGGGGAAGTCCAAGGGATGTGAATGGTTATTGTTTTTTTGTAAAAGGTTCTGCAGGGATTGTGTAAAATTGTGGTGGGGGAAAAGTTTTAAATTTTTTTCTCGTATCACACCAAGCCTGATTTATGCAAGAGAGGGGGTTTTTTTACCCCCTTGCCCCCCAGCTTTTGGTCGCCTCTTAGAAACCTAAGGCTTGGGGGGAAGAATAAAAATTTGAAATTTTTTTATTCACGCAAAAAAAAAAAAAAAAAAAAAAAAAAAAACGGGAAGGAATTTAACTGTTATGCAGATTTACAGATACCAACTATTTTTAATAATTGTTTAAAAATGTAAAACCATTCAGGGACGAAATGTTGGAAGGGAAAATGACTTCATTTTTTTTACTCTTCAATATAGCCAAAAAATTGAGCACTTGTGTTACTTTGAGCTCATTTCAAGGTATTTTTTCATCGTAAAACCCAAACCCAAAATCATATCTTTTTTTTTAAATTATATTCCTTTCTATCAAATGAGCCCAAAAAAAAAAAAAAAAAAAAAAAAAAAGAATAATTAAAACCATAAAAACCATAAAAAAAAATTACCGTTAAGGGGGGCAAAAGGGGTTGAAAAGTGAACTGTTATTTGTGGCCCGATTTCTTTAAAATTTTGGGTGTATGTTAAGAAGCTTTTTTTCCCTTTCCCACTTTGGGCCAAATTTTTCATAAGATAGTCCAAAAAAAAAAACTGGATCCTTTTCCCTAGATTCAAGAAAAAGGGACCCCCTCCCCAAAGCGTCAAAAAACCCCCCTTGAGGCCCGTTTCATATCTAGAAAATTTCACTAGGTCGGGGAAAAAAAAATGGGGACCGAGGGGACTGTCAAAAATGGGAAAAACCTGAACATGGATCCCACTCGTAAGTGGGTTTCACTGTAATAGTATTTCTTCCCTTTTAAATTGGGGGTGGGGGTTGTTTAGGGAATGATTGTAGAGGGGGGAGAGTTATACTAGGGCCCCTGTTGGGCTGGGTGGATGGTAGAGGTTCTGGTCTGAATTTTGGTTGGTTGAAACTGGAGTGTATTATAAATTTGTAATAAATTTTTCTGTTTAATTTCCCCCGCAGTACATTTTAAAATGATGGTTGGAATCAGCTGCTCTTCAGTGAAAAGAGTCAAAATTTTCAGTCGTCACAAAATCAGACAAGTCAGTAAGAAGAGTCATTTAAGCATCAAAAACAAAACATTTACCCGTTTTTTTTTATGTGTCCCAGTGACGTTATTACGGAAAAAGGGGTTTTTCTTGTCTAATTTTTCTATTTTTTTGAAAAACCCCCTTTGGGCTTTTTAAAACCCCCCAATTCTGAAACTGCTAAATGTCCAAAATATTAAAAAAAAAAAAAAAAAATTTACAAAAACTTTAAGTTTAAATTTTGTGATGGTTTTAACCCCCCCCCCCCCCAAAAAAAAAAAAAACTATGAGCCCTTTTGGAAATAGGGGGTGAAAATTTTTGGGCAGAAAATGAGCCGTGTGTGGGAAACAGAGATTAAGTCGTTTAAACCCCCGGAAAAAAATAATTTTTACTCCCTTTGGGAAAGGTTTCTTGTATTTTCCAATATTTTATTTTTTAAAGTAATTGTGGAAATGAGGGCCAAGTAGGGTGAAATTTTTACATGTATACACTTTTTTGTAGCAACCAATAACTGCACAAACTTTGTCTTTATATTTTTTAAAAAAACGGGTTTTCAAAAACCCAATGTACAAAAAAAATTTTTTTATTCTATTTTTTCTGAAATTATATTTTTAAACCAAATGTACAGTCATTTGGCCCATTTTCCCTGGGAAATTTACTACAGTTTTGTGGAATTCTTTGAAACATGGTGTTAAAAACATAGTCCTGTTTTCCCACCTCAAAACACACAAAATGAGTGTTGCTTTTTGTTAAAAAAGGCGTTGTGGTTGTGAGGTTTTTGGGGGTTTGTGCGGGTTTTTTGGGTTATGGTTGTGCAGGTTGTTGTGGTTGTGCGGGTTTTTTTATGGTTGTGCGGTTGTTATGGTTGTGAAAGGTTTTTGGGGGTGGTGGGGGGTTTTAAGCGGGCCTTTTTTGTGGATTTTGCTGATCATGGAAACAGCTTTTTACCCCACCACCTGCTACAGCATGTTTATCCCATAGGGGTAATTCCCATTCCCATAGTTTTTTCCTTTCTCAAAAACCCTTCCCCCTTTTTTTTCCTTTCCCTTTCCCTTTTCCTCTCATCTCTTTTTTCCAAATTCCCTTCCCTTTATTCTGATTTTTCCTAGGATTGTTTTGTCAAAAAACCTTTAAAAAACCATGAATTTAATTTTTCCCATGACACTTCCATCTGTGTTAGAGCTGCCCATTTGGGGGGGGAAAAGGCCCCAGATTTCCCGGGGGGTCACCCTATTTTTTAAACCGCTAGGAAAGGGTTAAAAAAGGGGGACTCTGAAATGTGTTTCCCCCTAAATTGCACCCTTGGTGGCTCGTTTTTTTTTTTTTTTTTATACTGCACAAAACTAAAAATTGAAGCCCCTTTCTTAACGGGGGCCTACCAGGTTTACCCCGCTTGATTTGGGGCCTTAAAATTTTTTTTTTTTTGGTGTTTTAAATACGGGGAAAGTGGGTCCCGGGAAAGGGGAAAGGGGGGGAAAGCGATTGGGGGGAATGATGATTTTTAAAGAGGAGTTTTATTATTATTTTTTTATTATCACACTGGCCGTTTTCCCCCCAAAAGGCCCAGGGGGTGGCCCAAAAAAAAAAAAGGAAAAAACTTTCCCCTTTTCTTTTCACTCCATCACTTTCTTGCCAAAAAGGGTTTGCTTTACACTACATTTTTTAAATTCCCAACTTTAAAACCCCCTCCTTCAGAGTGCAGGCACTGTTATTTTCCCATCTCCAGGACTCAAGCCCGGCCTCCCGGTTTTTCCCGGGAATCCCTTCAAAAAATGTTACTTTGCTCACCTCCAACGCCTTCAAGTTTTTAAAAACCATTTGCCCCCATTAAATTCCTTTTAAAACCACGCTCCCCCATGCCGGGCTGGAAAAACCCCAAAGCCCCTGCAAAAAAACCTCCTTTCCCCCCTCCCTAAAAACCTTCCTAGGCCGCCCCCTCCCCCCGCCTTCTTACAAAATGTTTACCTTTTAAAATCTTTCTTTTTGCCCCTTCTCTCTACTGTCCAAACCACCTAAAACCCCCCTTTTCCTAAAGCCCTCTGGATAACATTTTTGGGTTTATCCCGCCCCTTCCTCCCAAACTTCCAAACTAAAAATTTCTCTCCCAATTTATTCACCCCACCATTGCCCTGGGACATGACTTCCCTCCCCTCCGCCTTCCCCTCGCTAAAACATTCTTCCCCAGCTTCACCCCCAATATAAGGGCGTTGGAAAAAACTATACTCTCTTACTTTCCCCCTTTTTGCCTCTAAGGACAAAGTTTTTTGTCTCCCACGCTCCTAAGTGAAACCACTAAACTTTTTTTCCCCTCATCAATTCTATGAAAAAAATCATTTTTTCTTTGCCCCTTCCGTTGGACCCCGTCCACTCCCAAATACTAAATTAGTTCACCTCCCCCTTTACTCTCTCCCCCCAATCTGTTTAATTAAATTTTTCATAAACCTAATCTTTTTTTACCCTCAAAAACCTTTTCTTTTTTCCGGTTTCCCCTTTTTAATTTTCTTCTTTTGAAAACCCTAAAAATTTCTTTCCCACCAATCTCTGCGTTTTCTTAAAGAATCCCCCAAAAACCCACGTGTCATCAGAAAAGAGCAGCTGGGGACCCCCTCCCTTTGTTGGGGGTTTTTATTTTTTTAACCCCAAAGCCTCTTCCCCAAGGGACCCTGGGCATTTACTTCTTTTAACAACCCCACCCTTTTAAAATTTATTAAAAAAACCCACGGTGCCCTCACCTTTCCTTTTTAAAGGCCTTTTTTTAAAGGGGAAAAAAATTTTTTCCCTCTTTCCTACATATTAACTTGACCCTCATATCCTCAAAAAAAACTCTTCATGCTTTCAGTAACCTACCCCCTACACCTTTACACTTGCAAATCTGCCAAAATTCCCCCTTTCCCACCCTTTTTCTTTCGTTTTTTCCCAAATCCAAAAATTTCCCCCCCAAAGGGACCCCCAAATACCCCTTATCAAAATTACTTTTTTCCTTTTTTATATGTTTCACTGAAAACCCTGGGGTCCACACACCCCCTCCCTTTCCCAAAGCCTCCTTGTTCATTTTGCTACCCTTTTTCTCCGTTTCTTATTTCTTAATTTTTAAAATTTAAATAACTCAAACCTTTACATTTTAAACCGGGACATTTCAACAGACTTACCCCCCTTTAAAATTTTTTTGGGCCTCTTTTTTATCCCCTTTCCCTTTTATAAAAGGGAAAACCTATGCTTTGCTCTCTGAAAACCCTTTAGGTCCCTTACCCTTTTCCCCTTACATTTTTTAAAATTTAATTGCCCCAAAAACCCACCCCAAAACTATATCCCCCCCGGGCCTTTTAAAAATTTCTATCTTTATCCCTTCCCAAACCCGGGGTGCCTTACCCCCTTTCATTTTCTTTCTGCCTCCGAACTTCCCCCACACTCACAACTGGCTCTTCCTCAAATCCCACAAGATGTTAT